TTGTAGATGGTAACAGTGTCGAGCATTCACTGTATTTCCCTCCAAATTGCAGTGTCACAGATATTCACCAAATATATAAAATGAGAATAAAAACAGAAATATAGTGGTCTCTTTGGTTGTTATAAAAGCAAAATAAAAGAAGGTATGCTCACAAAAGGAGAGCAAATTTTTTTATTTTTGCTTAATTTTCTGTAGCGGAGGTGGTTTCCTCCCCACCAAGGAGGTAGAAAGTGTGCCTCCTCCGGGTTAAAATCTTCAGGGATAAAATCAGGAAGGTCCACGTAAGGTAAAAAAATAGTTTTATTTAAAACAAAGATAATAAAACCAATAACATAAAAACACTAACACGTTTCACCCAAAGGGGCTTTTTCAAATTGTCTCACCACCATATGTGTTTGAGGACACCATGAAGATGCTTATTCCCTGTAACCTTTCCTGGCCAAGAACTATCTAAATTCAACGTAGTCCAGAGAGTGCCTGTTGTCCAGGAATCTGTTTTTTTCTCCTCTGGATCAGGCTATACTGTGGAAGCCTCGGAATTGGCACTGGTGATAGGCTGAGAGCATCAACCTATCACTAATTTCCCAATCAATGGTCGGATAGTGTCAAGGACCTCCAAGCACCATAACAATTTCACTGAGATTAAGTTGTCATGGTTGTCTGAGTGATCTATTAGCCTAAATCCAAACCCCCAAACCCTAACCTTAAACTAATAATAAGGGTGACCTAATTATGACATTAATTTAAAGAGTGCAACATTGCAATTCGACGCAAGTGCAAAATACAATAAAATGAGCAAAGTCACAGTATTAAGTATGAAATTCAAACTGTGACACTCATTTATATTAAAACATTGAGTTAATTATGCTGCTCTAAATTATAAACTTGAGTCTTTTCTAAAAAAATACCTGCAACCAGTATTGTTTAGATGGTAGTTGAACATCATAGTTTCAGGTTTCACCTTATCTCTGGGGGAGAGTTATTTCTACTATAACATAAAAAGCAGTGGTTCTTAAAGGAACTTTCCACTGCCCAATTACAAAGAAAATATAAAAATCTGTGTTTAATATCTATACCCCAAATGAAAACATGCATGCATTTAATTATGCATTTTAACACTGCGGTTATATCTAAAAACCGCTTGTGAAAACTGCAGTTCTCTTGTCTGAAACCTTTGAAAGCCTTTCCAACCCCCTTGACTTTCTGTGGCTGTCCAACCACAGACTTCCCAAAGCAGCTCTATGAGAAGTCTTCCCAAGACAGGTGGTCTGGGCAATTATTTGTTTCTTGAGTTTAACTCCATCTATCTATCAAGTATCAGGACCAGTTGGATTTATCAATGTTAATTTATAAATGTGCCAATTCTTTGATTGAAATCTTCACTTTTTTTTGTATAATTGAAAAAGAGGGCACTCTTTTCTTGGAAAAGGTAGTGTTTACATTAAAAATCTTGCAGAGACAGACAATGTTCATCAGAACAACTACAATAAGCTGTAGTTGTTCTGGTGACTATAGTATCCCTTTAAATTTTGATGTATAGTTCTAGCATCAGAAAAGCTAATATTATGCCAAAAAAGATTTGCTTTGTATAACTGAACTCATGAGAGGAATATTGACTTTGTTGTGTTAAGGGTACTGTTTAAAGGAATCATTTATTTATAAATCATTAGTATTGGAATTGTAAGTAAGCTGGAAAGGAACCAGCATTCCACCCTCTTTAATCAGGATGTTTGTCAGGATTCTTTGCTGTTCCTGCTTTCTACCTGTTTGCTTATGTCAC